GTACCAAGAATTCAACTTATACTTTAGGAGTGCACGGGAATCGTGCGGTAGGATATCAAAGACTGCTGGCTACTTTTACATAGCAAAATTGAAATTTGGTTTCACCATAGCACTTTCATATTTCACCATTTCCCTCTCTTCTGTGCATTTTTACAGAGCTGTGAAGCTACATAGAAACCTTTCGCTCAGTATTAATGTCAAACTTAATTTTATGTAAGGTACGCATTAGTTACAAGCCTGTTCAATATTCTTATGATCTGCTGAGTTTTAAATTTAAGATCAACTTTCCCACATTCTCCGTAAATTTAGAAATTAGCTACATAAATACATGTACATGCTTTGCAATAAAGTTAATTCCTGTATTTATATGATTTTCAAGAAAGAGTATTGGGTAAAACCTTGCGCCTCTCAAGAAGTTTAAGAAGGGTGGTCGCGTGGATCTCGATGAACTTCACAGGAAGCAAGAACCAATCTGTGGTGCAGCTTTGCGACTGTTTTATTTTCCCTTGTTTTTACAATTACTAATGGCGAAGAAGAGTAAACAGCAGAGGGGCGCTATTGAATCAGCAGACAATTTAAACAACAAGGACATTCGCTCATGTTTACTATCAAATAAAAAAGTACGCCGGGTAATCAGCATCCACATTTAAAGTAAATTTGAAAAACAGCATAACTTCTTTCATTTTCTTACCTCTTAAGGGACGAGGAATCATGTATTAATGTATGGTCTGATTAGCGCCAAGTTTGTTCTCCTTAAGTCTGATTGCAAGCCTTTTCCTTGTAATGACGCCAAAGCTCCCCTCTTACTAATATGAGAATCGAAGGAATTCACCCAGATCCAATTATTTTACAAAGTTTATTTCAAGGTCTTTTAATACTTCCCGATCCCTTCTATAAGGTTTTTACGTTGCATCTCAAGCTTGGTGATAATTCTTACCTTTTTCTCCTCATTTTACTTCGACAATTGTATGCTGAAAGAAAACAATGGGTACTGGTTTAGTGCTATTTTTACAATGCTTTTCTCTATAATATGTTTTCTTAAAGTTATTCTGCGTATCAATGAAGAACCATTGCTAATAACTATAGTTTGATTACAAAATTGTAGAATCCATCCCTGAAATCGCAGTTGATACCACCGCCGAAACAAAAGGATGTAAGCAAGGTGTCCGAAGGTGATTCAAAGGTGTTTAAGAGTTCCAGTCGGGAAAGCTTAGATAGCGGAACAACCACCTCAAAAGCAGAGCGCGTCAAGAGGCCGATGAACGCTTTCATGGTATGGTCGCGATCACAACGACGGCAAATGGGTCTCGAGAACCCCAAAATGCACAACTCGGAGATCAGCAAGCGTCTTGGATCTATGTGGAAAGCCCTTTCAGAGGCTGATAAGAAGCCTTATGTTGAGGAGGCCAGTAAATTGCGGGCGCGGCATATGGAAGATTACCCTGATTATAAGTATCGACCACGCCGGAAGCAAAAACCTAATCATTCATCACAGATTTCTGCCAAACAACCAGCTGTTGCAAATCCAACCAACCGGCTAACACCTCTTAAGGCAAATCCTCTGTCCTATGACTCCGTTAAGGTTTCTCAAAAGTTTACATCACCACCAGTGCCATTACATCTGCCGACTTACGATCCCTTAACCGACACTGACTCAATGGTTCTGCATTACCGTCCCAAAGTCCAAGAAAGGGATATCAGTGAAACCTACTCTTTTGAAGTTCAAACAAAGCCCTACTTCGAAGGAATGTCAATCAATTCTACATCCTGTTGTTATTCCTCAGAGCAACATCAGAGCATTCCGTATGAATACTCCTCCTACTCTGAATCCAGCACAACTCCAATGGACTTTTTCAACCCTCCTGATCCTCAGATGCAAACACTTGTTGTAGAATACGCCGGAGTTCAAGAGTCACCACAATATCCCATTAACCCACCCAACCCGCACCCCTCAACACCGGTGCACCCACCCCAGCCTGCACCTACTATGTTTCCACCGATGGCTTTATCTACAGATTTTGATCAGACGGTACCATATCGGGATTGGAATAGGAGTTCCGCCGTTGATGGAAATGTCACGTGCTATTACGAGTATAACTTAGAGGAAGAGGGCGAGAGTGCGGGTGGGGATGCAGCACCCGTAGAACCATTCGAAGGCATGTCTCCAGATGCGGCAGTTCTTCCTTCAATGAGTCACATGGCCTCCACCCTCCGATTAGGCAGTACTGACTCAGTTACCGTCAGTCACTCCACTCCGCGATGCCTAACTCCCATGTCCTACTTCCAGTCCCACGGATCCGAATGTACAATGCAGCAGCAAAACGACTTGGGTCTGCAGAATTTCTTTGAGGATGGCAGTTTTTGTGCACGGGAGAACAGATTTTCGCAGTATGGATTCCCCAACAGCGTTGTTGATCTTCAATCCTGAAGTCGCACTTCCAGATTTTCTTCTATGTTGTAGAGCCAATGTGTATTTGAACTACGCAGACATACAAGCAAACTCACCTATATACGTTCTTGTAATGTTAGCAACCCTATTTGTGATTTTCTGAGCCTACCCTTCATTCCATTCGCGTTTGATCCGTTTTGTACACAGGTAAATGGCCTTGAAGACGACTCTGTTCATTACATCCAATGAATAAGCAATGATCTTTAACTACGTAATGGGTCCAAATTTTCGGAGCGGAATAAAAGCCTACAAAAAACCAAAAGATTGAGCAAGCATTATGCGTAAATTGTTAATCGTTTGTTGGGCTATTGAGTAACAAAAGGTCTACTGAAAACCGGTAGGTTTTGCGTTAGTAAGAAGGTCAGAAAAACCGAGGCAGGCCTATGTTTTATAAATGCAGGCAACTAAAGTTAGTCATGAGAGATGGTAGCTGAACCACAAGATGGTTTTGGTATATGGAATGAGATCTGAGTTGGTATTGATGGCGTGACCAACTGCTGAGGTCGGTCAGGGGAGCGTACTTCCATGCATTGGG